CCCCTGGAGCTGATGCCTTGAATTTGGACTTGTAGACTACTAGACTATGAGAGAATAAATTTCTCTTAGTTAAAAGCCATCCACTTGTGGTATTTCTGTTAGAGCTGCACTAGATGACCAAGACAGAATTTGGTATGAGTGGGGTGCTGCTCTAACAGATACCTAAAATGTGGAAGCGGTTTTGAAACTGAGTGGATAGAGGAGTGGCAGTGGCAGAGGATCAGCAGCAGCAGAACCAGGAGACTGGTGAGAGACGGCACTGGAGTAAGAGAGCTGAGTGCCTGTGCACAGGCTTCCTAGTGGAGTAGGGTGTCTCTGGACACTTATTGGTGGAGCTAGGCTTGTGCGCAGGAGGCTTACTGGTGGAGTGGGGTGCCTCTGGGTGCTTATCGGTGGAGCTATAGAGCTTTGGAACACTTGCCCCAGCAGGGCAGATGTGGGTGTGAGGCCCGAGGGCTGAGAGGCCACAGGAAGCAGAAGCTGAAGAGACAAGGAACACAAGAAGCCGAGCTGCCTCGGTCTCAAAAGGTATGGCCACAACCTCAGGGGTTTCAAAGGGTGGAGCCATGGCCTCAGGTGTTTCTAAGGGTGGAGACACCACTCAGATGGACTAGGAGAATTGTGCGCCTAAAGCGAGGGAGCAGAGTTGCTGTCAGTAGGCCTGGAAGGTGGAGCTGAAGCCCAGGGCTGAGGAGCCTCCACGCAAAATCCAGACAGTATGGCCAATACCTAGAGTCTGGAGGGCAGAGCTATTGGGTAAATGATTTCAAGCCTTGAGGGCTAACGTAATGTGTTCTGCTAACTTGCTTCGTGCCTGTTATGCCTTCTTTCCCTCCAGTTTCTCCCATTTGTAATCGAAATGCCTAGCTTGTGCCTGTTCTGCCATTGTACCTTTGAAAGCAGATTTCACAGATGAAGAGGAATTTTCGAATTTTGGACTTGGAGTTGATTTAAGACTTTTGCTATGATATGATGGGGTGAATATGTTTAACATGTGGCAAGGACATGAATTTTTGGGGCCAAAGGCTAGAGTGTCATGGATTGAATTGTGTCCCCCCAAAATATCTGTCAGCTTGGCTGGGTCATGATTCCCAGTACTGTATGATTGTGTACCATTTTGTAATCTGATGTGATTCTCTTATGTGTTGTAAACTCTATCACCATGATGAGGTTATACTGATGATGTTTGTAAGATTGGATAGTGTCTTAAGCCAATCTCTTTTGAGAGATAAAAGAGAAGTGAGCAGAGACACATGGGAACCTCATACCACCAAGAAAGCAGTGCTGGGAGCAGAGCACATCCTTTGGACCTGAGGTTCCTGCACTGAGATGTTCCCAGACCAAGGGAAGACTGATGCATCACAAGGACCTTCCTCCAGAGCTGACAGAGAGAAAGCCTTCCCCTGGAGCTGACGTCCTGAATTTGGACTTGTAGCCTACTAGACTGTGAGAGAATAAATTTCTGTTTGTTAAAAGCCACCCACTTGTGGTATTTCTGTTAGAGCAGCACTAGATGACTAAGACAACCACTGAACCACCACTCCCCCTTCCCCCAACATATATTTAAGGGATATTCCCAAAGTTAACTGCTTGGTCATTTTCTTAAGATAGGGGTTCTTAATCTAGGGAGTATAGGCCCTTACAGGATCCACAAATTGGTTTCAGGAGATAATGAACCCACTGAAGTTAGATGCAAAATTTGGTGTGTATGTGCACAGGTGAATTTTTCTGGGGAAAGGGTCCAGAATTTCTATCAGATTCTTAAAGAGGTTTGGGACTCCAAAAACAGGTTAAGAACTACTCAGTCAGATCCAAAAAGATTTTTTTTTTTTCAAATGCCCAATACACCAACACCAGGAAGTGATACATATGGGGGAAATAGAATCAGCTGGTAAGCCTCCATAGACAGCAGGGTCAAAACTGCTCTTTGTAAAGCCTTTGCAAAGAGAACATTTGGAGGGACTCACTGAATTTTGTTTCAGCAGAATCGCTTGACAGTTCATATCTATTTGGCCCAGAGATCTTTGGAAGGTAGTACTTTTGACGAAGTTTGATACACGGTGAAAGGACATCCAGGTACACCTGCCCAGCCTCAGAACAAAATAGCAGCTGATGCTTTTTAAGTGAGCAAACAGCTTTGATCATTTTTATCCACTGTCAATAGAGTAAGGTATGTGGAAAGAAAATATGGCGGCTGTGATTGCACTTGCATGGAAAAACATGCTGGAAACTGTGTTCTCGTTCGTGCCTTGCACAAGTTGTTCCCTCTGCAGTTCCTTGCCCCGCCTCTTTGCCCAGCAAACTTGAACACTGCCTTTAAGCCCTAGATAAGGCCTGCTGTGACTCTTCTGAGATCTCCTCAGCCCTTTCCTCCTAGGCAGAATTGTCCCGCAACCCATGGTCTAGCCCTCTGTACCCATCTCTATCCTTCCACCATTGTTTCTCCCAGTCAACTGAGCCTCCGAAAAGCTAAAGTAGTAACCAGTACTAGCTACCATCAAGTTGATTTTGACTCATGGTGACCTCATGTGTGTCAAAGTAAAACTATGCGTCATAGGATTTTCAATGGTTTATTTTTTGGGAGTAGATTGCCAGGACTTTCTTTTGAGGTACCTCTGGGTGGACTTAAACCAACAGCCTTTCAGTTAGCAGCCGTGTGCTTAACTGTTTGCACCATCCAGGGACTCCAAAATGCTAAAGCCATGACTTATCTAGTGTCTCTTGTCCCTAGCCACATAGTAGGTGGTTGATGTTGGCTGAGCAAATGCTAAATGAATAAAACATTAGCTACAATTTAGGAAGGTCCTTTCTCTGCAGGCTGTGGTGAGAGATGACCATTAAGAGCATCTAGTTAAATGACAACAGCAACTACATGTTAATGAGTAAACAAGATGACTTTCGGTGATCTCCAGAAGTGACCTCCTGACTCAGGGGTTGAAGAAACAAGCAAAGGAAGGCCCAGACATCAAGGCAGGTGAGAATACAATGAGGTTAAGAAATGAAGGGTTTCTAGGGTGGAACAGCTGAGCCTCAGGACAGGGGCCAGTGCTCAGGTAAGCAGAGAGATGTTTGGTTTGGTTTAGGGAGAAGACATTTCTTGAATTTGGGAATAAAGAGAAGAGGAGGGGAAATACTGACTGGACTGAAAGAAGAATGGCGATCATTTGGGGGTGTTAGACAACAGACACTGAATGGATTTATTCAGAGCAAGGGACTCTCACTGACAATTGCCTACAAAGAGAAACAGCTGGATTCTGCGTCTACTCCTCTGTTGCTTAAATATAGCTTGTGTTCTTGGATACTACACTAGAATCATTGAAAGGCTGAGCTGCAAGGGGCCATAGAAATGATCTAGGCCCATCCTTTCATTTGATGGATGAGGAAATTTAGGCCCCAAGAGGTGAAGCCTTGGATCCAGCCCAGGGGAGACTGCTTTCACTGGGCTCAGCCTGAGGCAGGAAGGCAGGCAATGTCCAGAGACTCTGGGGAAAGGGCTCTATTCTGAAGACTGTGAGCTCAGGAAAGGCCCAAGGCCACAGGGAATGGCAGCAGTTGCCCAGACCCTGGCTTCCTTAGGACTAGTTGCCACTGAGTGATTCAGACTGTGCTCCATAGGGTTTTCAATGGCTGATTTTTCTGAAATTGATTGCCAGGCCTTTCTTCCAAGGTGCCTGGTGATCTGCAACCTTCAACCATTCCTTAGGAGCCGAGCGCGTTAATGGTTTCCATCACCCAGAGACAACTTTTTTAGGACAAACCAAATAAAGTCATTTAAAAGAACGAGGTACTTGGTCAATAACAAGCTTGATAAACAAACCCAGCTTTTCCTCTCGATTAACACGTTATTTCCTCTCCATATCATATTAACAATGAGAGCCATTTGTTTGCTGGGAATGCGTAATAGGCTTTTAACTCTCTTAACTTGCAACTGAGGGGAAACGGGAGCAGAAGGGGAGAAACACGGCAGTAACGCTGCTTTTCGGTTTGTCTGGCCAAATTGTATGCAGATTAGATAATAACATGCGACCACCTCTCAACTTCATCCTTCTCTCAACCGCTGTTTACCTTGCCCGTATAGGGCACTTCCTGCGATTCTGGCAACTTCGATACCGGGAACTAAGAGCGCACTAGTTGAACACGCCTAAGGGACTTTGTCTCTGAGAAGTCCCTCCCTTGAAACTGCATTATCTAAAAACAAAATATGCTACTGAATGTCTGCTTGTGCAAGGTTAGTCTAGAAACAGGCCACCAACACACAGGTTTCGTGTCGCCCGTCCTTCAACAGCTTATGAGGAGTCTGGAGCCTTGAGTCAGAGACCTGGAAAATCAGTTCCGTTCTTTGAACCTTAACTTCCGTATCTGCACATCGGCTCCCTCGGAACAGTGGCGAAGACTGGGCGCGCTGGGGCGCGGGCAGATCAGTCGCCCCGCGCGGGATCCCCGCAGCCTCACCCGCCGAGGGGATGGGGGCGCGGAACTCGCTTCCCGCGCGGGTTCTCTTTTTCCCTGGCGAGGCCCGCAGGCAGCAGAATCGCCCACCGGCTCCGGCGCCCAGAAGGCAGAGGGGGCGACG